TTTTTTTTTTTTAATTTAATTACTTCACCTTTTCAACATAAATATTTAGTAAATTAGACAGGAAAATAAAGTCTTGTTTATTGTAGATTGCATAAAGACATTTAGATAATTATTATATATAATTTTATTTGGTAAAGAAAATGATAAATAAGAGAAAAATGATTTACAAATCTACTTGAATATGGAAAATAAATGCATATAAAAAAATAATGTTTTTATTATATCAACATAAATAATATGCGATTGTGGTTCAATCTGAAATCCTAAAATATCTTAGTTTTGCTCTTGACAAATCAAGAAAATAATTTTATGTAATAAATACTTATTAATGAAACTATCTGTCATATTTTCCTAAATCTAAATCAGGCTTTATAGAAATTCCTGTTACGAGATTTGTCCTTTCTATTTTATCTACACCCTTAAGTTTTTCTTAACAAAAATTATATTAGTAGATAGATTAGGTGGTTTTAAAGATTATTGCATCGTCAGCATTTTTAAATTTCCTAATTAATTTTGAATTATTGAGTCTCTTAACATAAATGTCATTTTGTTTCTTGTTTTATTTTACAATAATAGAATTTTTAAGAACCAAATTTTTGCTATCTAAATAAGAATGATTTTATAAGCATCTTTGAAGTATTTTATTATTCTATAAAAATAGCAAATAAATGGTTTTTTGAGTTTCAACAAACGCATAACTTAAGAAAATTTTTTCAAAACCTACTATATCTTCGATAATTATCTCTTATTTAATGTTAACGTTTTTTTATGAGTTATCAGAAATCGAGTAGACAACTAGATTGCAGGAATCCTCAATTTTAGAATGAAGTTTATAGATATTGTTTTCTGAATCTATTGAGATAATAGAATCCCCTTTATTATCAATTAAATTTTCTTTAAAGGTCTCTAAATCAACAAGAGCGTTTTTTGAATCATCTTGTATTATAAGGTATTTAGAATCATGAGTAAATTAAATATAAGAATTATCATAAAATTTCCTTTAATACTTTATCTTTTTTGTTTATGTATCGAGAATTACATGAAAGTAGCTTCTTTCACTATAATCGTTTTCTTTACTTATATCAAATGCTATATATTTTGAATTGGATGAATTGATAACAAAATCTAATTCCCAAAAATGAACCTCTTCATCTCCATCACTCTAATCATATTCATCTAAAATCTCATCATCACTAACAATTTATTTTGGTCTATTATTGATTTTCTGTTTTATACTGCTAATACCTATTAATTTTTCTAAATTGAACTCTTCTTAAAACACAATTTTAATTCTTTACTTCATATTCTATAAATTATTAATAATGATAAATTTTCTTCTTAAATTATTTTGAAAAAATATCTAAATTCAGATTCATAAATATTGGTACTAATAATACTACTACTAGAACTTTATATAGTTTAAAGTAGAAAGAAAAGATAAAAATTGAAGGAATTTCAATATGAAAACAATCCAATACTTTATTCTTTTCAAAAATTAATATTTTGGATTTAAGTCTTTTTGAAAAAATTTAAAATAAGTATATATATACAAATTACTTAATACACCTTAGAAATCATAATTGGTACACTCAATTTTTTAATATTAAGATAGTTATTTATTTTCAGAGGTAGTTATAATGAATACATAGCAGTTCATCCTTACCAAAAATTTTTTTTGGTTTTCATTATAAATATAAAAGGAAATTGCGATGAAGAAAGATCATCATTCTTTTTTGAATTTTAATTAAGTTTCTATTCAATTCTATTGTCTTCACTTTATAATTAAAATTATCAGAATTTTAGGTTTACCATTTTCTTAAAAAGCAAATAGATTATCATTATTTAAAAATATTGAGTGCCTTTACACATCAAAATTTATTTGATTCCATCCTTTCCAAATAGTTTAATTACTTGTATTATTTATTTATTGAGGGATTATTAGTTTTAATTTTCAAACAAATTATTACTCTTTAGAGTAGATAAAAAAAGAGTTGCTAACTTATCATAAATTTTTCAAATCAGAGTTTTTTCAGATCGATACCACATGACTTATTAATAATAGCTCAAAAACTATTATTACCTAATCATTTTTTATTTCAAGTTTTCTTTCATACAAAGCACTTACTTTTTTGATCTTATTTAACATTGTCTGAACCATTATTTTATATTTAATGCATATTAAATTCTTTTTTCTCAACCTAAATTCAACCCTTCTACAAAAAATCATTAGGAATAAATGTATTTTTCTCAACCATTTTTATACCCAAATTGTTAATATTTTTATCTTTGTACAATTTCAATTTAAAGTCTTAGTTTTTTTTTCTTGGTGATTAGAATAACAAATTATTTTTTATTGTAAGTCAATGTACTTATTCAACTATTAAGAAATCATTACCAACTTAACTCAGTTCATATCCTTATCATTTCCAACAATAATTTTTTATCACCTTCAAATTACCCCTCCTTTCAATATATATGCATGGGTTTACAAATCATTAATATTGATTACTAGTATTAAAAATTAAGCAGATTCAGAAACAAATTTTAATTGAATTTTTTTTAAAGAGTAGTGTTAGCCCTTTCACAGAAATAATGTATCCCTTTATTGAAGTTATTTACTCATTATAATTAGGAATTAAATAATATTGAACAATTAAATTAAACTGAATAGTTCTTCTGCATGGCATAGCTTAAATAAATGAGATGGATTACATTTAAGACAAAGAATATTTAAATCTAAATAAACAATATTATATAATAAATTTGAATTTCATTTCCTGAAAATTTATTTTTATTTTCAATTAAAAATTAATATTTCAATCAATTGAAATAAAATTACAAAAAAAGAAATTATTATTTCTCATGTCATAAGTTGATATCTAATCTAATTTACTCTATAAACTTCAAAATTTTTTTAATATTAAATGAAATTGGTGAGCTGTAGTTTTCATTATTGAAGCAGAACAATTAAATGTAAGAAGACATTAAAATTGTAATGAAAAATATCAATCGTTTCATTATTTTGAGAGGAGATAATTGCGCTTATTGGGAAGAAATATTCAATTTGAAGAAAATCTTTGTTAAGACACTTAATTTTAAATTGTGTTAGAGATAATAAAAATAGCAAAGAAATTAATAAGAACAAAATGAAAAATGTTAAATCGAATAGTTTGTTCGAAACATTTTACTAAAAAAAAGTGAAGATTATTTAATCATTTTTTCATTTAAGGATATTTATTAGGAATAAACTTTACAAATACAGCAAATTCCACGCGTGGCC